CCTGAGTTTTGCAAGCACTTTGATACACCCAGTAGGAAGAAGAAAGATCTAAGCCTTGAAAGCTGTAAGGATTTACATTGGCTATAGAACAAAGGGGATGGACTAGTTCTGGGACAGACTCAGCAGAGCCCACAAGGAAGAAGTGTCCTCTCCTGGGGACTGGCTGTGGGCAGCAGGTTGAACGATTCACATGCAAATAAACAGAGGCTCCAGGGGCTCTCTGGTGCCTGGCTACGCTCTCTTTTGGATAATCTTGGAAATAGCCACCTGGAAATCAATCCCAAATTCCAACAGACTTACAGGAATGTGAGCAGTCTTCTGTCAGAGTTGGTTCACAGCTATTAACAAGCTGTCATGTTTCTTTTCTCTTACTCTCTGGCTGCTGTAAATTTAATGCAGAACATCTCAGAATTTTTTTTGCTTGTCAATGTCAATGGACTTCATGGATCCAAAGCCCCTTTCTGTGGTACAGAGGGCCCCACCTCCCACCCCAGTCCATGGAGGGGAAAATCAGAGTGAACTGACCAGGAGCCAGGACACAGGGCAAGCAGAGTAGACAGACTGACGGGACAGGGAGGAAAGCTGAGGAGGAGCTCCCTGGTCCTGCAGCAGCCTGGCAGAGGGCTGACAGACAGCTCAGAGGGAAAGTAAAGAACGCCCCCATCAGTTTCCACATGTGTGTACAGCCATCCATCAGAAGAGTTTTCTTTCTGGTAAGGAACTGCACTTTCACATGCCTTCCAATGTTATCGGGCCAAGTTAAAGTATTACAAAAATATCACTCAATTCAACAAACATTTATAGAATACTCCCAGAGTGCCAGGCCCTACATCAGTTCAGGAACACAAAAGCAAATAACAAACAGCCCCTGACCTCCAATTAGCTCCATGCTCCTCTGCGCTGCCCTCCTGTGTGCCCTCCACCAACCCAAGTCCCACCCGCCCCGTGAGACCCAGCCTATGCTCCTCCTGACCCAGAGTCCCCTGAGCTACTCTCAGGCCACCGTGAACTCCTGCCACTTCTAAAATTTGGTTCCATTTCTATCTCTAAGTTTTATGAAGTGTATGTCCTCTCTCTGGTTAGACTTGAGCCCCCTAAGGACAGAGACCATTGTTAGAATTTTCCAGAGAGAAACCACAACAGTGGTTTATATCAGACCAAGCACAAGCCTTCAACCAGAGGACCATCTCCAAGGCCTAGCACAGTGCCTGGCCCCCCGGCAGATGATTTATAAACTTTTTACTAGCAAAGACTACAATTGACTCCCCAACGTGTCAACAGGCACGAATAATCTGAAAATTGAGAGGGTAGGAATGATCAAACAAAACCTCAAAGAGTGCTTGACTCATGCTTTGCCTCTTCCCTCCTCTTAGGTAAAGCCAAGGCACACCGCCTTTTCTCCTTCCTGCTGGATCCTTCCTCGTTCACTCTCCCCTGGCCACCCATCAGCATCGCCCAGCATGCAAGCCTGGCCTCTCCCTTTTCTTTGAGCACATTTCCCAAAGTCTCTGGAATGACTAAAGGTAAGTGCTAATGTTCTGTACTCCTTAATGTTTACTCTAGGTAGGAGTACAGTCTTCCTTTGCTTTAGGCTATTTTCAAACAAGGTTTGCAGCCGAGGGCCCCAGTGGCCTGTGCAAACACCTGCCTCCTGCGCTTCCTGTTCCTCAAACCCTCTTGGGCCTGAAGTCCTAGGGGTTTTCCACCAACCCAGTTCCCTCTCTTTTAGGCTGGAGGAACTAAGCTGCCTTCCTGAAGAACAACGAGGAGGCCTGGTCTGACCCACCGCTTGGTGCCTCTGGCAAGAGAGAATAGCCTCTGCCTCCCACCGTGTGTGGACTGGAGGAGACTGTAGACTGAGTGAGGCCAGGGCAAGTTCCTAAGCACACTGCCACTATTGCTGACGTTGAGCCAAGGGTGGAAAGGGGACACAGGGAGGGGAAACAGACCATGCCATCCCCTCTTCAGCCAACCCTAGGTACAGCCAGACCTTGCTTCTCAAACGTCTCCCACCTCAATAATTTGGTTCTCAACCAAGTTGTTCACAGAAAAAAACATCTTGGTTTTCAGACAAAATTTCGGTTCTGGGCCCAACTGCCCTTTCATGCTGATACCTGTATGATCGATCAGTCATGAGTCTCTCAGGAGACAAAGGAGAGGATGAGCAAGTATGAGTCAGTTTACCACTAAGCCTCACACTGTTAACATCTCAGGAAATTAGGCTGTGAATATTTTCATGGCTTTTTTTTTTGCTTTTGTTCCTGCTTATTATTACTAAATATCACTAAGATGCTTAGTAATAGCAGCAAAGTAAAAGGAAAGTTGCTAGAACAATAATAGAGCTTTAAAAAGAAATAATTGCAAAGTAAGATAGAAATGTTTGCCTGTCTGATCTGGCTACCGAGTATGGCATGGCTAAATTGATCAGCACAATTTTAAAACATACAGAGGCCATCAACAGTGCTGAGGTTACTAAGGGTGTGAAAGTGCTCACGAAACAGCAATCACGGGCAGCTGAAGACGTAGGAAAATTGCTGCTGATTTGGATAAACAAAAAGCAATTGGCCGGTAATAGCATTTCGGAGGCAATGATATGTGAAACAGCGAAGATGCTGCATGCTGACCTCCTGAAAGACAGCCCGGGACCGAGTGCTGAAGGGGATTCATTTAACACCAGTATGTGCTGGTTCAATGAATTTAAGCGGCATTCAGAGGGTAGTGAAGCATGGAAAGGCTGCCAGTGGTTCTAACAAGCAGCTGCTGATAATTTCATTACAGACTTTCAAGAATACATAGAAGCCAAGGGATCTTTTCCCCCAACAAGTGTTCATTTGCGATGAGACGGGCCTCTTCAAGAAGAAAATGCAGAGGAGGACCTACATCACACCGGAGGAGAAGTCACTGCCAGGACACAAGCTGGTGAAGGACAGGCTGGCGTTGCTGTTGTGAGGGAACCTGAGTGGGGACTTTAAATTGAGGCCTCTACTCGTCCACCATTATGAAAACCCATGAGTTTGCAAGAAAAGCGATGTTACAAAAAACAACTTCAATGGGATGTGGAGGGCTAATAGCAAAGCTTGGGTAACCAGGCAATTTTTTATTGAGTGCATTCATGAAGTGTTTGCCCCAAGTGTGAAGAAATCCCCCCAGGAAAACAATTACCGCTCAGGGCACTTCTTGCAATGGGCTGCGCTCCCTCCCGCCCACCCTCCAGGCTCGGAGGCCCTGTTGGCGCAGGAGTACAGCCTCATCGCTGTCAGGCCCTGCCAGCTAACACAGCTCCTCTCAGCCGACCCATGGACCAGCAGGCCATTTTGAATTTTAAGAAATTCTACACACTGGTTAGCTCAGTGGATTGAGCACGGGCCTGCAAACCAGACAATCGCGGTTCGATTCCCGGTCAGGGCACATTCCTGGGTTGCAGGCCGGTTCCCTGCAGGCCAATTCCCAGCAGGGGATGCATGAAAGGCAACCACACATTGATGTTTCTCTCCCTCTCTTCTTCCCTTTCCCTCTAAAGATAAATAAATAAAATCTTTAAAAAAAAAGAAATTCTACACAAAGGCACTATTTCAGAGGTGTTTTGAGGTGACCTCTGAAATGAATTTAACCCTCAGGGAGTTCTGGAAGGAACATTTCAATCTCCTCACTTGCTTGAGACACACAGACAAGGCATGGTGGGAAGTATCTTCCAGGACCATGTAATCAGCCTGGAAGAAAATGTGGCCTGAGTCAGTTGCTGTAAGAGACTTTGAGGGCTTTGAGGATGAACCTGTGTCTGTGGTGGAGGACAGTGTGTCTCCGGGCACGTCCATGGCCTTGGAGGTGGATGATGATAATGTGGAGGCCCCCAGCACTGAGCTGAGCACCGAAGAACTCCCAGGTGTGCAGGGAGGAGCAGTAGACAGCAGCTGAGGGGCTCTCTTCAGAGGAGGAGGAGGAGGGAAGGGAGGATATTCGAGGAAATGCTTGGGAAATAGGGAGAAATGAAAAATTTTATTGAAAAGTAGCACCCTGACAAAGAAGTAGCAAATGGAGCAATAAACAAGCTCTAATAGAACAAAGACACAGAGAAAGAACCCCAGAGGAACAGCTACCTGACGTTTGTATGGAGGGGACGCCCTTTCCGAACAACATCCCTCTGTCCCTTGTTTTCATTTTTCACTGTCCATTTCATTTCCTTTTTGTTAAATTTCATTTATGTTTCTTGTCCTTTCCATTTTCAAAGGGTTTATTTATAACAGCACATCAGACGAGTATGTATATAAGGAAGCTTCAAACAGCCCTGACTGGTATAGCTCAGTGGATTGAGCATAGGCCTGTGGATCAACGAGCCAGGGCATGTGCCTGGGTTGCAGGCCAGGTGCCCAGTAGGGGGCACTTGAGAAGCAACCACAAGTTGATGTTTCTGTCCTTCTCTCTTCCTCCTTTCCCCTCTCTCTAAAAATAATATTTTTTTAAAAGAAAGCTTAAAACAGGGAATCATTTGGGGGTCCAGAATGGATTAGTTCAACTTACATTATTTCTAATTGGAAAAAATGATTCATTTTTCAAAACAAAATGCTTCTCAAATAGCCTTCCAGAACAAATTAAGTTCAGGAACCAAGATTCCACTGTACTCACTTTCTTACCAGATATTAAGCTACAAGAATCACTGAAAGGTATAAGGAAATTCAAAAGAGCAAAAAGGCTTGGGAAAGAAATACCACACTGTGGGGGAAGGAGGCGGGAAAGAGAAGGGGAGGAAACAAATATTGCTGCCAAGTTATCAGTTACTTCTTATGTTCTTAAGAATGCTTCATGTCTTTGTTTGGCCAGTTTTACCTCCCAGATTCTCGTAAAGCATATGGTGCAACCTGTTACCTAATGAGACCAGCGTCACTTAATTCCTCTTACCTTCTAAGGGAAATACTGACCTGGGATTAAGGTGCAGCAAGCCATATACAGTGGCCTGAGCCATCCGAAGAAGTCCGGAGCCTCCAACTGGGGACCTTCCACACTCTCTTCAAGTGACTTACAGCAGCACCAACAGTCACGATGAAAGTTCTGATCTCTTCTGTCCTTCTATTGCTGCTGCTAATGCTGATGTCCATCGTCTCTAGCAACCCAAGTCCAGGTAAATAAGATTAATTTCCTATTTTTTAAGATTTTATTTATTTAATTTTAAAGGGAGGGGAAGGGAGGGAGAAAGAGAGGGAGAGGAACACCAATGTGTGGTTACCTCTCACATGCCCCCTACTGGGGACCTGGCCCACAACCCAGGTACATGCTCTGACTAGGAATAGAACTGGTGACCTTTCAGTTCATAGGCCGGCGTTCAATCCACTGAACCACACCAACCGGGGCAGATTAATTTTCTATAAAAGGGGGAAACGAGATTTGGAGGTAGAGGGAGAATATGGCAAAGCTGAAAAGAAAATGTGGCTCAAAAAAACATACATTAAAATGAAGCTCCTTTCACTAGAGGTATTTTGAATAAGTTAACCTATCTCACTCATTTCCTCATTTACAAAAGGAAAGAAACTGTACCAGCATCTAAAGAGCATTGTGAGAGTCAAATGAAACAGCGTATATGAAAATTTAGGGGGAAACTTTCTGACACAGTAGCTGGCAATGAAAAAAATGGGCTTCCTTGCTCCCTTACTTCTCCCCCAGTCCCTTTTCCAGAAGAGTAAAGCATTTCCCCATGGCCAGTCTTGGGGGCAGTGCTGTGAAAGTGTTGAGAGCAACTGTACATTTGCAGAAAATAAGGAAGTCCTTGTTTATATTTTCTTTTAATCCTCACCTGAGGATATGTTTATTGATCTGAAAGAAAGAGAAAGGAAGGGAGAGAGAGAGAGAAAGAAACATCGATGTGAGCAAGAGACATCGATTGGTTGCCTCTCGTACACGCCCACACCAGGGACTGAACTCGCAACCTTTTGGCCTGTGCAACAACACTCCAACCAACTAAGCCACCCAGCCAGGGCTGTTCATATTCTTTAAAGTGTACCAGACATCTCACCAACAATTTTAATGCTATCTAATAGCAAAGTAACAAACTAGAAAAATCATACCACCAGATAGTATCCACATTTGAAGCATTGGCCATACTAAGCCCTGTTTCAACAGTTCACCTTTTGGGAAGCAGACCCTTGGTCAGGGTTTTTGAATCAGCTCCAGTGGCCGAGCCCTTAGCAGAACAAATATGCAGAAGAGAGTTCATCCCCATGTATGTTTCTGCTTGAGAGAACCATCTCCCCAATGGCTGCTTTGAGGTAAAATAGCTTTATTAGATAGTCATCACGAACTCAGTGCTCAAATCAAGAGTGCACCCTAGTGCACCCCAATTTCGAACTTCTCCTTTGTAAAAGAGCTTTCTGGAGACTGCTGGGCCCCACGGCCAAGCCCACCATTCTGGAAAAGAAGGATTTTCCATCACTAGGACAAACGCCAAAGCTAGAGTCCTCAGCCTAGAGTCAAAGCTCTAGCCACAACCTGCCTTTCCAGTCCACTCCCCTCCACTCATTAGCAAACGCTCTGTGCTCCACCTAAACTAGGTGGGAAAAGGTCTTATGTTTTCCTACCAGCTCAGCTTTGCTCATACACTCAACTCCAAAAGCACCTCCTCTCCATGCCTCCCATGATTCCTCCCATGACTAGAAGTAAGCTCCACCCCCATGCTTATCCCTAATGGACTCTCTCTTTTGCACTCATCAGAGTCCACCTTACACTGAGGGTGTGGGTCTGCCTCTCCTACCCCCACCTCCACCCTTCTAGACTGCAACCTCTTTGATGGCACAGTCTGCACAGTCTGGTGTATTGTTTCCATAACCCTCACAATATCCAGCACAGTACTCAGTAAATATTTGCTAAGTGAGAGAATAAATCCTCAATTGTGCTTGATGACTCTACACTGAGGTTTGATAGCAGCTCTGTTAACATTTGGGGCTGGATGATTCTCTGTTGTAGAGGGTTATTCTGTGCATTGTATGATGTTTAGCAGCATCCCTGTGGCCTCTCCCAACTAGATGCCAGTAGCAGCCTCCCCCACCCCTTAAGGTAGCCAAAAATATCTCCAGATGTTGCCAAATGGCCCCTGAAGGGGGAAACCATGCCCCAGTTGAGAGCCAACCAGTGCTCCATTCAAACAGTCCTCAAATCTACTCCCACTTAGACTTACCTGGACTTTCAGCCTTGAAGCCAGGGAATCTACATCCAAATAATGACTTTCCCACTTACTTCGCAACCCCGGGCAAGTTCCTTCACTCTTTTGAACTTCGGTTTTATTGTATTTAAATGAATAAAATGCCAGTTAGAAAACGCATATTTTGTGAAGATTAAGTGACCTGTAGTGTGTACTTAGTAAGAGGTGAAGAAATGGACTGGGTAAAAGTTCTAAAGTGGCTCCTAAGCCACAAGGGCTATGAATCAGGAAAGCTCACCACACCACCAGGTAACGCTATGCCCAACCACATCAGGTGGCTGGAGGCCAGGTTCAAGGCTTGTTTCCCAGCCACGCATAGTATTGCAACATCAGGTTAAGTCTGGCTAGAGGAAATGATGCCCTACCATCACTGCAAAATATTCTCAAAGTAAAACTTCTTAATTTACCTTAAAATAACCACATATCTAAACAATATGCTTTTCACAGGAAAAGATAAGTGAGAATATACAGAATTTAGGAAATAAATTACTGATAATAATAGTCTACTCATTGCTCATAATACTATTTATGAATTATAAAAGTACTTATAATAGTAGTTGACATGTGTTAAGCAGTCCTGTGTGGCAGGCACTGTTCTGAGCACTTCACACACATTATCTCATTGTGCCCTCACAAAAACCTAATGTACTTTTTTTAATCTTTAACTTTTCACTTTTCAGACTTTCAAAAATGTAAAAATAATCAGAATTCCGCCCTGGCCAGGTGGCTCAGTTGGCTGGAGCATCATCCCATACACCAAAAGGTTGCAGGTTTGATTCCCAGTCAGGGCTCTTATGGGAAACAACGGATTGATGTTTCTCTCTCTCTCTCAAATTAGTAAAAAATATATCCTCAAGTGAGAATTTTTTTTAAGTTTTAAAAAATTATAATCAGAATTCGGGTATGTCCTTCATCCAGTTTTTTTTTCATAGATAACACCTTACATAACCATACTATGATGACACAATACTATTAACTAATGTACGAATATTCAAATTTTTCTACTCATAACATTACTGTCCTTTTCCTAGTCCAGTATCCACTCTAGAATCATACACTATTTGAATAAAGTTATTGTGTCTCCTTGGTCTCCTCTGACCTAGAGTATTTTCTCGGCTTTCCTTGTCTTTCTTGACCTTAACACTTTTGAAGACTACCAGTCAGGTACTTTGTAGAACTTCCCTTAATTTGGGTTTGTTTGATGTTTCCTCATAATTAAGTTCAGATTTTGAATTTTTGGCAAGAACACCATAAAAGTGATGCCTGCCTTCTCAGTACACCACATCAAGAAGGCCCATGATATGCTATCCCTCATGACTGCTGTTAACTTTGAACACTTCATTAAGGTGGTGTCTGCCAGATTTCTCTACTGTAAAGTTTATATTTTTCCCATTGTAATTCATAAGTATCTTGTGAAGGGGTACTGTGAGACTGCAAATAGCCTGTTTCTTCTCATCATACTTTTACCCATTAATTTTTTTCTCATTAATTTTTAAAATCCATTGATAATTCCTATCTACAATAGGTATTTCTATGGCATTCGTCAAATAGTGGTTTTCTATTTCCATCATTCCTTCTGTTTATTAATTAAAATTCTACTATAAGGAAAAACTGTTCTGCCCTGGCTGGTGTGGCTCAGTGGGTTGAGCGCCAGCCTGCAAACAGAAAGGTTACATGTTCAATTCCCAGTCAAGGCACATGCCTGAGTTGCGGGCCAGGTCCCCAGTAGGGGCCGTGTAAGAGGCAACCAATTGATGTACACACTGATGTTTCTCTCTCTTTCTCCCTCCCTTCCCCTCTCTCTAAAAATAAAGTCTTTAAAAAATAAAAGAAAGAACTGTTCCTTCTCTCCCATTTATTCAATTACTAATATAAGTACAGACTCACAAATATTTATGGATTATAACCCATTACTATCTTACTTTATTATGTTCTTCATATTGTCACAAAATTGTCCATTGAGAGCTCCTATAAGTTAGTTTCTATGTCTTTTTTTTTTTATGAAAGAAGGGAAGGGAGGGAGAAAGAGAAGGAGTGAAACATCAGTGTGTGGTTGCCTCTCGTATGCCCCCTAGTGGCACGCAGGACCTGGGCACAACCTGGCCCACAACCCAGGCATGTGCTGTGACTCGGAATCAAACCAGCAACCCTTTGCTTCACAGGCTGGTGCTCAATCCCCTGAGCCACACCAGCCAGGGCTAGTTTCTATGTCTTTTGAACATTTTTTTTTAGCAGTTCTGACACCACAAGATGTTTCAGACTTATTTTGTTCTTCCCTGCCCCAGGTTGGGAATCAGCCATTTCTTGGAGGAGCCCTGGTTTCTTTTATGGGAGAATAATATTAGGTAGTTATTGCCGTTTGGTTCTGGGTGCTAGTTCTTCCAGGCCCTCTAGTGGACAAAGCTAGGAAATAGATGTATGGATACAAACACATAGGCACTACTAGTCCCATTCTACATATTAGGTAAATGAGGCACAGAAAAGTTAAGTAACTTGTCCAAAATCATAAAGTTAATATGTGGTGGAATTGGGAAACTGAAATAATGACAGAACTACCACAAATTCTAACAAGTGAAAGTAACTTTTTTACACATACAAGTCAGCAAAATCCAACAACCCTAACATTCCAGCATAGACACTCTCTTTGGAAAATAACTAGAAGTCAGCCATTATAACTACAGTAAAAACTATCATGTACTGAACACCTGCTTGGACACTGGGCACCCACCATATCTCATTTAATGCTAACAAATCCGTAAGGTAGAGACTCCTATACTCACTTTACAGATCAGAGAGCCAACAGTTAAAGAAGCTAAGTGACTTATCTAAGACCACATAGTTAAGAGGCAGAACAAGCAGTTAATCCCAGTTCCATCTGGATATAAAGTCCGTACTTATTCCACTGTGTCAGTATTTTCCAAAACTAATTTTAGGTGGAACATGAAGTAGCTTTTACTTTAATAGTTATATGTCCATTTTACTGCATGTTAGGAAAAAAATCTAAGCATGTAATCAAACCCATAATCTCACAAATAATACTGCATAGGATAAGGCTATTTTAAGTAACTTAAATTTAAAGAAAAAATAAGAAGTAAACAATAGTAGAGGAGAGACAAGCAATAGCAAAACTTATAATAGTGGCCTATGAATACAGCTTCAGTCACACCGAAATATTAGAGTCACGTAGAGCTGCAGAAAGTACAACTCCTGAACCTGAATTTTAGTTCCAGACATGTCTCTATTATCTTTATGAACTTTGCCTCTTCACTTGCTCTCTCTGGGCCTCAGTTTCCTCATCTGAAAAATAAGAGATAGTGATTTAGTTAATTAGTGCAAACACTTTTTTAAAAAATTTTTAGAGAGATAAAGATTTATCTCTCTAAAAAAAATTAAGATTTTTATTTTTAGAGGGAGGGAAAGGGAAGGAGAAAGAGAGGGAGAGAAATATCAATCTGTGGTTGCCTCTCACATGCCCCCAACTGGGGACCTGGCCCACAACTCAGGCATGTGCCCTGGCTGGGAATGGAATTGGTGACCCTTTGGTTCGCAGCCAAATCCCCTGAGCTACACTAGCCAGGAGTGCAACCATTTTAAAAGCGATTTCGTAACAACATCAAGAAACATAGAACTGTTCCTAACTTTTACCCAAAAATTCCATTTTAGGAAATTTTGCCCAAGGCAATAATACAAAATTTGGAAAACAGTTACAAGCACGAAGAAATTTATCAATACAAAATAATAAAGCAATCCAAATATTCAGCTCTGGGAGAACAGTTAAATAAGTTGGGGCAACATACTTGTTGGGAGTGTTATGCCATCATTAAAAATGAAGAGGACACTGCCACATATTTACAAAGTACACAAAAAGAAATTTGTTCACATACCATGGTTATCACTAGATAAAGAAAATCACATGCAGAAACATGCCAAAATACTAACAGCTGGTAATAATAAAGATTTCTTCATTTGTACTTTCCAATTCTTCTGGTTCTAATATTCTGGGGCTTTTCCCTGGAACTAGGAGAGGTCAGGCGAGAATAAAATATTTTAAAAGTTTGGAGGGCAGGGGCTCTGCCTGTTTAAATTATTTTAACAGCACTCAAAACAGCACATGAAAACATTTAGAAACTGGAACTTGAGGAAATGAGGCAACACCCTCCATCTGTGTGGGAGAAAGGACACGGGCCTGGGAAACAGCAGACCTGCCCTGTACCAGACGCTCTCTATAAGGCCCTCTTCGTACAACCTGTCTGTCCACCTACTGGACAAATATTTACCAAGCACCCAACACGTGTCAGGAACCATGCAGCCAAATGACTTCTGGTTCAGAGGCTACAAGGGAAAAAGATTTTTAGTGTGCTCAGGCTACCATTACCAAAACATCACAGACTGGGTGGCTTAACCAACAGAAATTTACTTTCTCACAGTTCTAGAAGCTAGAAGTCCAAGATCAATGTGTTGACAAGTTTGGTTTCTTCTGAGGCCTGTCTCCTAGGCTTGCAGATGGACCTCTTCCTGGTCATTTCTCTGTGCACATACATCCCTGGTGTTTCTTTGTGTATTCAGATCTCTTCCTCTACAAGGACTCCATTCAGACGGGATTAAGGCCAATCATAACAGCTTCAGTTTAACTCAGTCATCCCTTGAATGGCTTTATCTCTAAACAGTCATTCTAAGGTACTGAGGGTTAGGATCTTAACATGTGTTTTGGGGGGGGGGGACACGATTCAGTCCACAACAGATTTCAAACAACAAACTATAATTGTGTAACAGTGGGGCTGCATTCAAATATGATGGGGATTCATGGAGGGCATAATTAATTCTGACAGGAATATCAGAAACTACCATACAGAGAATGCATCATCTGGGCCTAGTTTTAGTTCCAGAACCTCAAATCTATATATAAACCATCATCCTTGATTGTCACAAAAATATCTTAGGTATCACAAAATGGGAATAAGACAGCTTCGGGTGATAAGGCATAGAGGTCAAAAAAGGAATGGCTTTTGTTCCAGGGGGGACAAAGGGAAATATCATCCTTCTAGAATTGAACTGGGATTAGGGATTCAAACACAGCAAACTTGGAGGTCAGTGAAGATGGGTTTATGCATATTATGATCCTTCCCCTCAGTCCTCAAGTTATGATGATTTTAATGTGTGTGTTGGCCGGGGGGGGGTCTTTATTAAGCCCCATTTTCTGTCCTCTCTTCCATCCAGAAGCCAGTCTTTCTCCACCTACCTCAATCTAAGCTTTTCTCTAGGCTGGATTTTCAACCTCAATTCCTTATCCATTTAAGATACTCTTCTCTTTCCCTGGCTGGTGTGGTTCAGTGGATGGAGCACTAGCCTCTGAACCAGGGGGTCACAGGTTCAATTCCCAGTCAGGGCACATGCCTGGGTTGCAGGCCAGGTCCCCAGCGTGGGGGCACATGAGAGGAGGCCACACATTGGTGTTTCTCTCCTTTTCCCTCTCTCTATAAATAAATAAATCTTTAAAAATATATAAATGAGTACTTGAGGTAAAATACTCCTAGATCCCCGAATAAAAAAGGTAGAGAAATGGAAAATTATGCTAAACTGGAGACCATTTCTGTTGGCCGCTTCCCCTTCCAGTGCCTAGAAGTGACCTGTTTCCTTCCAACAGGGGTCGCCAGAGGCCAGAGGGACCAACGCCAGGCTTCTAGGAGGTGGATCCAGGACGGAGGCCAAGAATGTGAGTGCAAAGGTCAGTAACTCAGTATCAACAACATCGAGGCACCAGCCATACCCCACCTCTCTCCCTTGAGTCCCTGAGACCAGTGCAGAAGTTATCTGAGCTGACTCACCCATTCCCTCTCCACCAGTTCAGCACATGCACCACCAACACCAGCTTTCTTCCTGAGTCTCCTTGGAGGGCTGGACTCCTCCAGGAAAGAGCTGGCTAAATCTCTTCCTGCCTCTTCCCTCTTACTTTTTCCCTAAGAAGCCAGGGTTGCCTTCCAAAAGCTTCCTGGATCTTACTCTCAACCTTATTTTATTCACAAAAAAAGACTAAATCAGACAGGCAAAATGGCTTGCCCCAGATAAAGCAGCTACTAAAAGGATGACATATATCTAGGTCTTATTTCTCATTTTCTGGTCTCCCTAATGATATCCGCTGCCCTCTCCACACCTGCCACCAAATTCTTGCCAATACAGGTCAGGAGAAACTGCTCAGAAATATATAGATATAACTGGATATGTCCACTATTCTATGTTGACCCTTTTCGCCATCCTATTGCAGTATAAAAAAGCAAAGATCCTACATCCAACTCTCAGACATGTTAACCCTCCCATCTAAGCAATAACCCTGTTATTTCAGACTGGTTCCTGAGAGCTACTACAAGAAAACTCATGGCAGTGCCCAGGCTGCCAAAGAAGCAGTGTCCCTGTGATCATTTCAAGGGCAATGTGAAGAAAACCAGTAAGTTTCAAAAGTGTGACCTTCCTTCTTTTGCAGGAAGTCACTCAGTGGGATCAACTAGGGAGGAAGCAGCAGTTGAGGGGAGACGATAGAGGTAAAATGAAGACCAAGATAAACATCTGAGTCCTTTCTACTCATGTCGACTTGTGGGGAAACAGGAAGAGGAAGAAAAACAAGATACAATTCTCCTAGAACTAGAACAGTTTCACCAAAGTATTAGACTTTAGAACTCTGTTGTGGATGGGGCTGTTGGGGACCTGGACATTGACCTCTGAAAATGACACATGTCAATGTCAAAAAGAACTTTTTCTTTTTTGAGGATCAGATGCAACTTATTGTATTTTTTTCCATTACCATTTGTCCGCCTTACAAACAGAATTTAATTCTTCCATAGTGTAGTAGGTTTCCTCAATTGACTGATTGATTTTTACAGAGCAAGGAAGAGAGAAAAAAAAACATTGATTTGTTGTTACTCTCATTTATGCATTACTTGGTTGATTCTTGTATGTGCCTTGACCAGGGATGGAACTGCAAGCTTGGCATATCGGGACAAGGCTCTAAGTGACTGAGCTACCCCAGGTCGGGCCTAGTCTAGCAGCTTTTAAATGTCATAAAATTAAGCCCTGACTGGCGTGGCTCCATGGGCTGGACATCGTCCCACAAAGCAAAAAGCTGCCAGTTAGATTCTGGGTCAGGGCACATGCCTGGATTGCAGACCTAGTCCTTGTTTGGGGCTGTGTGAGAGGCAACCAATTGATGTTTCTCTAGCATTTCAATGTTTCTCTCCCTCTCTTTCTTCTCAGCCCTTTTCCTTCTCTCTATAAATACATACATACATACATACATACATACATAAATATTTAAAGTAAATTGCTAAATGTTAAGCTGATTGATATTATCATATTATCAAGAATGGGATAAATCAGGCCCTGGCCAGGTAACTCAGTTGGTTAGAGCATCATCTTGATACACCAAGGTTGCAGGTTCGATCCCAAGTCAGGGCACATAGAAGGAGCAACCAATGAATACATAAATAAGTTGAACAACAAACTGATGTTTCTCTATCTCTCCAAAATTAATTAATAAAAATGGGATAAATCAGGATACTTATCACTGTTGATGGAAGTAAAATACATGATACTACTTATCAAAAATGTAAATGTGTATACCTGTTAACCCTGTAATCTCACTTCATGGTATCTCCACTATAGAATACTTGCATGGATACTCAAAGATATATGTGTATAAGAATATAAATTATAGCAGTATTTGTATTAACAAATAAATAGTAATTAAAAATGTTTACCAGTCCTGGCTAGCGTGGCCAATTAGTAAAAGCATGTCCCATAGACTGAAGGGTCACAGGAAGGCAACCAACCAATGTTTCTCTCTTACATTGATGCTTCTCTCTTTCTCTCTCTCCCCACTTCTCTCTCTCTCTCTCTCTCTCTCTCTCAGAGCAATGAAAAAACATCCTTGGGTGAGAATTTTTTTTAATGTTCATCAAAAGCAAGTTGGGAAACTGCAGTTGTCAAAAATAATGAGTTAGATCATTATGTGCTGGTCAGAAAGATATCCACCATATGACAATATGTTAAGTGAAAAAAGATGCAGAGATCTCCTACTTCACACTCTTCATGAAAATAAATTTCAAGTGATTAAAGATCTAAATCTGAGAGACAAATTTATAAGGGAATACAGGAGAATATATGTATGACTTTGGAATAGGAAAAGATTCCTTAAATAAGATACAAAAAGTGTAAGCCATAAATGAAAAGATTAATAAACCCGATTTCATTAAAAGTAAGAAATTTTGGTCCTCAAAAGAACCAAATGACTAAAAGTAGGAGATGGTATATATAACCAAGGATTAATATTTAGAATATATAAAGAATTCTTGCCCTTGCCAGGTGGCTCAGTTGGTTGGAGCATCGTTCCATACACCAAAAGACTGCAGGTCCAATTTCCAGTCAAGGCACATACCTAGGTTGCAGGTTCAATCCCCAGTCAGGGTGCATTTGGGAGGCAAATGATATCTCTCTCTCTCTCTCTCTCTTTCTCTCTCCCCTTCTCCCTCCCTCTCCCTTCTTCCCTCTTTAAAATCAATTAATAAATCCTCAAATGAGAATTTGAAAAAAAGAAAACAAAAAGATCTTTAAAAAAAAAGAATTCCTACAGATCAATCAAAGGAAGGCAGGCAACACAACAAATAGGCAAAAGACTCAAATCAGCCATTTGGAGACAAGGAAATCCAAATAGGTAATAGACATGTGAAATGGCACTTACATACCATTAATTGGGAAAATGGGAGCTAAAACCAAACAGATATCACTATAAGCCACCATAATGACAAATAATTTAAAGTCTGATGATATCAAGTGTTGGCAAAGAGTAGGGAACAAAGAAACTCATATCCTGCTAATGGAAGTATAAATTGGCAAATCATTTTGAAAGAGTGCTGGCTTAAACTAAAGTTTAAGCTCTGTCACCAAGCTAAATGGTTAAGTACTCATAAGAAATGCAGGCTGATACACACCAGGAGACATGTACAAGAATTTCATAGCAGCACTGCTTATAACTACCCCCAAACCGAAAATTAACCAATAAATAGGGGTATGTTCAAATATTATAGATCAGTGAGAATAAACAAACACATAACAATAAACAATAAACATACCAATTCATTCATAACCAATTAATCTTACAAACATAACATTGGTAAAAATAACCAAGACACAAGAAAATAACTACAGTATGACTTCATATAAAGTTTTAAAATAGGCAAAATTAGCCCTAGCCAGTGTGGCTCAGTTGGTCGTAGTGTCATCCAGTAACTGAAAGGCTATGAGTTTGATTCCCAGTCAGGGCACATACCTGGGCTTCAGGTTCAACCCCCAGTTCAGGTCCAGGCACATAAGATTCCCCAGTTTGGGCACCTTCAGGGCAGCCAATTGATTTTTCTCTCTCGCATCAATGTTTCTCTCTCCCTCCCTTTCTCTGTCCCTTCTTCTCTGAATAAAAAACAATGGAAAAAAATGTCCTTGGGTAAGGATAAAAAATGTAAAAAAAAATTCACAAAATTAAACGAAATTATTTAGGAATAGATAAGTGGTAAAACAATAAAGAAAAAAGTAAATGCTTACTATAAAAGTCAGGGACTGAGGGAGGATAGTGATCAGAAAAGGAGGGAGTTGCTGACTATATTCTATTTCTAGGCCTGAGTAGTATGTTCATGAGCATCTGCTCTATAACTGTTTATTGAACTTAACACAGAAGTTTTTATGGGTTTCTATAAATGTATATAATATTTTGCAATAATAAAAGATTTGTTAAAGGTGCAGAGCAAGACAATCCATACATAGTATAATTTTAATTATTAAAGTAAACTTAATAGTTTATATACAAAAAGATATGGAAGACTATATAGTAAACTGTTAATAGTAGTTTGTTCTGGGGAATGAAGAATGAAGTTTGAGGGGTTTGTCCTTTTATATTTTTTATTGGATATATTTTTTAATTTTAAGTTTTTCCACTGGACAAATCTTACATTCATAACTTTAAAAGTTCTCACAAAAATTAAATTAAAAAATGTTTAACACTAGTCTTTCCCCTTTATTGTCACCATAGGACACCGAAGGCACCACCGGAAGTCGAACAAGCATGTCAGAGCCTGCCAGGAATTTATCAAACGTTGTCAGCTAGCAAGCTTTGCTCTGCCTCTATAGGAGCTAAGAGCCCCCTCTCCCAGTGAAACATTCTCGGTCAAGAAGGAGTGAGCACACCTAGAGAATGTTCTCCCACCTCAAGCTCCTTCTCCCTGTCCCCGCTTCCTAAATCATTCCAGTAATCTCAAAAAGCAAGTTTTCCAAGATTATTTTGATGATTGCTCCCTCTAGTGCTTTCCCTTGTCAGTCTTCTCCTATGCCCTCATTCCCCAGGCTTCATTTAAGCTTAATTACCTGAATGAAACCAGGAAACTCCAGCTTCCTAGCTTGTTCCACCTGACCTGAAATACATCCAGGCAAGTAGCAAAAAGAAGCCAGTATCTGGTTGCAGTGGATTGAGCATAGGCCTGTAAAGCAAGGGGTCACTGGTTCGATTCCCAGGCAGGGCACATACCTAGGTTGCAGGCCAGGTCCCCGGTGGAGAACATATGAGACAACCGCACATTGATGTTTCTCTCCCACTTTTTCTCCTCCCCTTCACTTCCCCTCTCTCTAAAAATAAATAAATAAAAAGCCAGTAAATATTATTAAATATGACAGGTCAAAATAACTTCTTTTGAACAGGGTCTGGCAACTCACACTCAAGCCAGATGACCCACTCTATCCTGTTCACTCCAAACTCAACCCAGATTCTACATATACACATACTTCTTCGCACCATCTCTCCCTCTTACTCTCTCCTGCCCAACTTTTTATTCTTTTACTCTTTCAACAAACCCTTTCTGAGGTAAGAGCCAAATGGGGAAACTAAAGCAGGTAATGAATTAGACGCGGTCTTGTTCAAAATAATATAGGTTAAAAAAACTAGTCATTTCCTAGCATGTAGAACACCTTTGGGATTCATTATTGTTATCATCATCAAGGGTCATCGTACTCTGTGTTTCCAAACTAGTACAGAAGACACGCTATATGCAGAGCCATAGGTCCAGGGTTAGAGAGATGACATGGAAAATCTCAAATGCCATTGAAAAGGGCTTTGAACTGTAACAAAATGGAAGTGAAATTATAAAGCAATAATATAAGGTAATTAAACTGGCAACCATTTGAAAAATGAGTAAAGAGGAAAAGATTATTATTATAACAGTATAGAGACAGCCTTCCCCTCTGACCCTTCCCTCAAACATCAGAAGGGGATGGGGCAGGGGAACACAGAATCTGGCTTCTGTCATCCCAGAGGACTAGGTTGGGATGTTGCCTTATGAGAAAAAAAAAAATTTAACTGAGTGGTGAGTTGGGTGGGGCCCTATTTATGACACAAGAGGACAAGCCCCTCCCCTCTGGCAGAAGAGTGCTGGGCACACGGCCTCCTCCTGTTCCTAATCCATCCTCGAACAGCTGGAGGCACAGAAGAGCCTCACTTGGCACAGGAGTGGGGGCTACCAGCGGTCAACCCACTTGTCGACTGCCTTAAAAAGACCAGGAATGCCAGGCTAAAGGAGCGGAACCCAAAAGAAGGTGTCATCATGAGGAATCAATGAGGCATCTGTGACACAAAAGGCCTGGGTGGGAGGCCAGAAGGATGAAGCCTGGGAGATCCACATCTCCCACGAGGGAAATAACAACAGTGGAGCCAGATTCTAAGTCAGTAACTGGGCCTGACTGGGAACCTGAGCCACCCCAGACACCTATCACCCAGCCAGAGCCTGGCCCAGAAAAGACACTCACAGCACAGCCAGCATCTAAGACCCAGCAAGGACCCAATACCCAACAGGAGCCTGCTTCCCAGCAAAGACCACTCACTCAGCAGGAGCCCCCTGCCCAATATGAAGCTCAATCCCAGCAGGAAACTAGAGCCCAGCAAAAATCTGCTTTACAGCAGGAACTTCTTGCCCCACAGGAGCCTGCAGCACAGCAATCGCCTCCCATCCGCAGGGTGTCCTTCACTCAACAGGAAGCTGCCTCACAGCAGGGAACTGGGCCAGAAAAAGAATCTACAACTGAACAGCAGTCAGAATTGGGAGAGGGACATGTAGCCCAGCCAGCACCTGGCCCAGTAGAGCCACCTTTAGCTCAGCAAGAAACTGGATCAACACCTCTGGCCCAAACCGAATCTTTGTCCCAAGAGAAACCAGGACAGTCAGATGCTACAGCTCAAGAAACAGCTACGGCCAAATCCCAGCAGCAATCTTCGATTCAGTGCGGGTTTCTATCAAAGCTTCACAAACTATCCCTACAGCAACCAGGCTCAAACTGGAAGACATTTCTCAAGTGGGCCACAGATGTTGACTCAGAATCAGATCTGGGGTATCCATATAAGACCAATTCCCCAGCCATGAAGGCTGGAACAGTGACCCAGGGAATGAAGCTGGACTTCGGGGGGAAACCTGGTTATGAAGTGATGTCAGGAAGTGCTGGGACATCAACCCAAGGAAAAACCAGAGACTCCTGGGACACAGGTAAGTGGAGCCTGAAGGCACAGGAGTCTCCCAGGGACAGTTATTAAGTACTGAGAGGCACAAGTATGTCAGGTTAGCTTAGGTGATCCCTCAGCAGTCCTGCTAAATGAGGATCTATCATTTTCAAATGAGCCCTATTTGATAGATGAGGAAGCCGAGGCCTTGATATCGAAAGGATCTGATAGGAGGGGTCAGTAGGGAGTGGCCAGTCCAGAATCCAAAGCCAAGGTCTGACTTCATCACAGGCACCAAGCTGCCTCCCTTCGAAGGATTTGGGGTAAATCAAAGTGGGAAAGGACTCTGACCAGGGGCCAGAACACCGAGGAACCCGCCTCCCTGCCATTTATTATTCATCCATCCCTCCCCAAACCCACTGGGCATAGCTCTGGGGCAGGACACTACGGTGTCTGACGGGAAACACAAGGCTGAACGTGGCCCCTTATCCGTGAGGAGATTCCACCCCGACTAGGCCAAAATCTGTGCCTTCACAATCCTTGAGGCTCTCCGGGTCAGCCCTCTGCGGCAGGACACTTGCTGCCCTCCCCAGGCTGTCCCCTCAGGGAAGTCCCAGTCCAGCCAGGCCTCTGAAGGCCTTACGGGTTGTGCGCTACGAGAGGGTCCGTGGAGTCCGCCACAGTCCCCAAGCAAAACAGGAGCTAGAGGAAGGGAGGGCTGGGGGTGGCAGGAGCGGAGGGTGAAAGGGCCTCCAGCCGTCCCTTCCTCCCCTCTTCCGAAGCAGGCAGCAGTGCCCTGGGGTGTGGGCTCTAGCTCCCATCCCCCTTCTCTAGGCTGCAGACGGGCGTCAAGTGTTCTCCCTGCAATGAGAGGTTCCTTGTTGAAGTGGCAGGAGGGTGAAAAATATGCAGCCCCGCTCCAGAAGCTGAGGGCGGAGTCCAAGGGCCCGCAATGGCGGTTCCCGCCCAGAGGCCCCGCCCTCCCGGAAGAGCTGACCACCTCTCAGGGCTGAGGAGAGAGAACTAGTGTCCCTTCGTGTCAAGGCTGCTTGTAGGCCATGGGAGGGTGGGAAGGAGGGGCAGGGTAGAAAGAGAGAGTTCCAGGTCTTTTCCCAGTACTGAGGATGTTATTTCTCTAGGCCACCAGGAACTGTATCAAGGGACTCCCCCACAAACTAAGGGGGCGCCCAGGCAGCCTTTCTTGAAGCGCGCGTGAGGCCGCTGTGTGTCCGTGCGCGAGCCTCGAGCTTCCTCTGTTTCCCGCCTTTTCCCAGGCTCCCTACACTGCTTCCGCCTCGGTTCCTCCCAACCGGCGGGCCGGCGACGCGGGGCTAGTACGCAGGCGCCGAGTATTCTCCTTGCCCCTCCCCTCATTCTCCGGGGAAGAGAAGGCAGAAAAAAGAACAGCGAGAAACAGGGCAATAAAGAGAACTAGGAGGTGGGGAGGGGTGCAGAGGATGGAGAAAGAGGGGCTTCCTCCTCCAACGACAAGCAGGCAGAGCCACGCCTCCGGTGCTGGCGCCCCGCCTCGGCTTTGAATTGCCCGAGAACCTGGCCGGCTCCCCTGCCCCAGGCTCAGCTGCGCCCCGGTCTCCCCTCCAGCGGGCGGGCAGGTTGGCGTTCTAGGGGATTCCTACGTGGGAAGGTGAGTGGGAAAACAAGGCTGAGAACCAACAAGTGATAAAATCGAGGCTTCCGAGCCAGAATGGCCACGGTGGGACTCCCCACTAGTCCTGCCTGATGGACGCTCTTCACTGCCTCCAGGGCTGCAGTTTTGTCTGTCGTGGGTCCTTTGGTGTGGAAGGGGCGGGGCCAACCTTAGGCCCAGGCGGTTGAGGGCGGGGCCGGGCGGTGGAGTGAGGTTCAGATTGCCCAAGGGGTGGGACCCAGAGTGGAGTAACCCCCTGATTGGGTGGTAGGCACCCGGTGTTGTGTAAACAAGATTAGCCCTCCCCGCGGAGCATGAAGGCTGCAATTGGTCCCCGCGCTGGGAACTGAGGAGAATTGATGGAGTCAGCCTGGGAAACCGGGCCTGCCGGGGCCCCTGGGGCCCCGGCCTCGAAGGAGGACAAAGAGGGATCCAAGTGCCGTAACCGCCGGCGGTGGCGAAAAGTCAAGGCCAAAGGTGAGCGCGCAGGGGTGGGCAACAGCCGGGAAGGAACCTCAGACATCCTGCGAGGAACCGGGGGACTAAGTGGACCGACCCACCACCTCGAAAAGTAGGGGAGACCGTGGATTGGCCCATTGCCGCCCTGCGGGGGGATGCGGGGATGATGTGAGAGCGGAATTTCCCAGGCTAGAGACTGACTACTGGACGCCCCACTACTGTCCTGGGAAAAGAATCCAGAATGCGAGTCTTCTGGACCAGCATTGCCGCTCTGGCTCCGTACTCGCTGCGTGACCTTAGACAACTCCTGTTCTCATTGCTTCCCACCTGGGAAATGGTTCAAGCGCCGATTTTCCGGGCAGAGGCACTCTTGAGAGGATAGTAAGGAAGAGGTTTATAAGCTGTTGCCCAAAGAGGAAGTTTAGGGGTGAGTCAGAGAAAGGTAGGAGGACGGAGTGCCCCAAGGTGGGGAATACCAGGGGGCCATTACAGCTCGAAACAAACCCGTGCTCCCATTCTTCGTTCAGTCCATTCATCCCTGTCACTCTACTTGCTTCAGCCCCACTCCCCTGGGCCTAACTTCCTGACCCCAACTCCTTCTAGGACTAGGGGTTCCTAGATTGGCTTTCTGTCGCCACACCCCTCCTTAGGAGAAGGGAGGTCTGTCACATTGTTTACTGAAAGACTGAAAGTCCAACAGAGACGCTGCAAGCCTTAGGCAGGGGCTGGCATTAAGCCCTTGCTCAGTTTTGAGTATTTGTCAACCCAGGTGAGGACCTGTGGGAAGTTCCTGTGCAGAAAAGAAACTGCACAGGAACTAGCCCCTAAGCCCCAGCAACTCCAACTCATTGTTCTCCCTGCCATGAGCTGCACTGTACATCCCTGTCAAGGACAGAACTGGAATTGGCTGTGATACACATGCAGGCTCAGATAGGCTCAGACCGGTGCCCACATGCATTCACTGTCACACAGCAAGACTGCATCACAAGCCGACAAAGTGCCCAGAGGCAGTACAGACCGTGGTTAAGTACCTGGGCACTGGAGACCTGGTTCCTCAGGCTATGGGCAGCAGGCTCCCTCCCCTACCTCAACTTTTTGAGTTATAAAATGGACATGATTAGAGTGCCTGACTCATGGGATTGTTGTGAGGTTTGAGGGAATGCAGTGTGTTTGGTGCTGGCACACAGAGCAAGCCCTCAGGAGTGGAGGTCACCCCTTATGAAACAGCAAGCTCCCTAAGAGTGGGGCTGTATCTGCCTTGTTTACCCCGTATTTCCAGAGCCTGCTATGTCAAGCACATAGGCACTTGAATATTTATTGAATTAACAAGTAAAGGAATGCATGAACTGTAACACTGGGACAATAATAAACATGCTGCACTTAGGATTGTCATGAGGAATCGGAATCCTCATGGGCAGGGCTTCCTGCACGGGCTGAGCCAGACCTCACAAATCCATAGGCCCTCCTACTCACACAGGCTCATTCCCCCAAGCTCTAAGATTTGCCTCATTTGTCCTGGTGCCAGGTCTCAGCTGGGTGAATCAGACCTCACCCCTGCCCCAAGGGCATCCAGGCTTGCTGGTTCAGTCCTTGTCATCAATTCGATCTTGCCAGTAACCCAGTGACGCTAGTGTCATCATGATCACCTTATTTCCCAGTTGATGACACTGAGGCTCTGAGGGAGCAAGGTCACCTGGGCTTCCTTTTTGGCTAGTGGGGGCAGAGAGATGGCCATCTCTAGCCTCCTGAGGGCAAGGAGTGTGTGAGCTCAGAACTGCTCTGTGTACAAATTTGTTTAGCAGACATTCACTGAACATCTATTTGTACCAGGCCTGGGCTCTCGGTGACTAGATATAATTATAAACTGTGATAAATACAAGAGGGAAATCCCTAAGAAAACATAAGTGGGAGGCTTTCCTAGGAGGTGACATTGGGCCCAAGGATGAGCAAGTGTTGACTGCTCAGCAAGGGGGCAGGTCAGCAGGGGGGCAGGGAGGGCCAAAGGGACAGAATGGGCAGAGAGACCTTGAGGCCCAAGGAAGTAGCAGTTACAGCACAGCAGGAGTTCATCGAGGGAGGGGAGGAAGAAAGACAGCTGGGTGGGTGGGGGCCCAGATGGTCTCTGGTTTAGGAGGTCATGTCCAGGATGTGGAGCTTTATGCTGAGAACAAAGATGGTGCTGTTGAAAGGCTGAGAGTGTGTGACCAGATTTATGTTTTAGAAAGATCCTCCGGCTGCTGTGTGAAACAGACTGAAAAGGACAAAATCAGAGACACTAAAAAGTTGTTACAATCATCTAGATAAGGGAGCATTGGGGGTGGGGAGGACCAGGTTCTAGAGGTTTCTAGGGGGCAGGGTGGACAGGGCTTCATGATGGGCTGGATGGGGATAGGAGGTGGCTGGGATGATACCCTGGTTTCTGGCATGAGCAAACGAGGAGACATGCATGCTTATGCCACACACACACACACACCAGGATATGCACAAATCTCAGTGCATGCATTCATATTCAAACACATGCCCACACAACCTCACAGGCCAAGACAGACAGGCAGATACACTCACAGACTGAGAAGCATATACACAGGCCGTGGCACATGTATAAAAACATGCCTTCATATATACCAAGAAACAGAAAAATGCACAGATTAAGAAAAAATGTCAACACACCCACACCCACACACCCACACACACAGGCTGGGTCAGACACCGGCCATGACCCAAACCTGTCTGTGTCCGTACATGCATGTGAGCCTCAGACACACTCACACCTGACAACCCAGAGCGCATCCAGCCGAGACCTGACGGAAGAAGCAACACTCAGATATGCCATCCTTGCTGGTTCTGTGACCCTGGGCAGCATGTCACCTGTCTGGATCTGTTCTCCCATCTTCCAAGAGGGGTGATAATAGTTCCCACCTCATGCATCCTGGGGACGATGAAATGAGTTACTTCACAGAGAGCACGTAAAGAGATCAGTACCCGGCACACTACCGCTGGACCTCAGAGCGCTGTTGGCTCTTCTGTGGGAACACTCAGGGAATCAGCTACACTCGCCGGCCCCTCCTGTACTTGTACCCAGGCATCTCCTCTTCAGAAGCCCTTACCCCTCCCAGGCCCCAGACCTTGCCCTTCCTTCATCCTCCAACTACTTCCACATTTCCCTGCTCCATCCCCAGGGGCCAAAGTCCAGGCCTAAATCAGATGCCAGTGCTCTGTGGGACGAAGGGCTGGTGCCCAGACAGCAGGACCCCTCAGCCCTACCTCTGCCCCAGTCCCCGCCCATGGCCCTGGTGGGCCTGCCTTATGCCCTAGTGCCCTCTGCCTGGGATTCTTAACAAGTTTCTGGCAATCTCAGCATCCCTTCCTGCCAGCTCCACCCAGCCTAGCCCCCAGGGAGCCATCTAGACCAGGGCAAAAGGCAGGGCCCTCAGAATCCAAAGGGCCTGTGATCCAGCCTCTTCCCCTCTGCTTTGTGCAATTCACTTGTTCTGTCCAGGTCTCTTCTGACCTCATCGTCAATAAAGAGCCCCACTGCATAGATAGGAAGTAAATAGCAATGGCTTTATAAAGTAGGAAACCACAGTCTATTAGGCAATAAATACCACATGCTGGCTGTGTGCCAGGCACTGTGCAAGGAGTTCGGGTACAGCAATAAAACAAAGTCCCTGCCATCAGGGAACCTGTAAATTAATAAGGGAGACAAAGAGCAAAGGCATAAATAGTCCGCGTATGGTATGTTAGACAGCAGTGCATGCCACAGAGAAAAATGACCCAGTGCACACCTTGGTGAGGCCACACGAGAACCACTGAGCAGACAACTATAGAAAAGGCCGCCCAGCGGGCAGGCAGGACAGCCAAGTGCAGTTTCCAGATGAGGAAACCAGGCTGATCCAGGATCACCCGGTGAGTAGCTTGGGCCGGTGTTCCGCTGTCACAGCCACCAAGCTTAGAGCTCCCTCCGGAGGCCTCTGTCCACCTCGTCTGCCCTGGGGAGGGGTGGTCCTCTCCCGAGCTCCCATGCATGCCCTTCTCTCCCTCACTGTGACTCTTCAAGCTTTCCTTCCTTCCTTCAAGTATTCGCTGAGCACCTACTATGTGCTAGGCCCACGGATGGGTCTGCTGCCGTCAGGAGGATGGCATTTCAGGGGGAGAAACAGGACTCATTCCTGGCCAAGCAAATGACACTGAGGCCTCAGGCCCTCTCCTTCACACTGGTCCCTTGCAAGGCCCTGCACCTAATTTTGTATTTGTGATTTTGTATTGTTTTTCCTGAATAGCCCCACCCCCACACATAAGTTTCATGTTCTAATAAGCTTCATGGCTCTATGAAGCCTGGTTCTGCCCCCAGGGGGAAACAAATAATAAACATGTAAGCAAACAAATGTATGATCACAAATGTGTAAAATTCTAGGAAAAACAACTTAAGCATGATGACAGAAAATAGTCCTGGGGCAAACCTCCTACAGGGAAGAGCGATTAGAACTGCCTCCTCAAGGAGGCGACAAGCTGAGGACTGAAGGGCAAGAGAGCTGGCAACGCCAAAAGCATGTGAATTAACATAGGTGAAGTGTCTCTCAGCCTTGCTTTCCCCATATGTGAGGAGGAGAGGACAGTCACAGTAGACTAGGATATGAAGGGTAAGTGACAGGTACAGGGTGCCCAGTGTGAGAACACCACACAGTAGGTAGAGCCTGTGGCTCAGGCCCCTAGCTGAGCTTGGCACTGCCCTTAATCTGCTTTTGTCCTCCCAGGAGGGACAGGCAGCGCTAGCTACCCTCTTTTTTTCCCCAACAGCTGGCGCCAACTGTGCCAGGGCCAGCCTGGGGCGGGGGATGGGGGGAAGCGGCAGGAGCAGAGATCACGGGGCCCTTGCTCTCTGAATCCACACCGGAGAGAGGGAGGGCAGCTTGGCTGGGTGAGAGGGGACAGTTTGTTCATAACTGGGGCTTAGACTCCTGGGTCTGAGGGAGGAGGAGCTGGGGGCCTGGACGCCTGGGTCTGAGGGAAGAGGGAGCTGGGGGCCTGGGGTTCTAAAGCAAAATTGAACTGGGACTGGGCACAGGCGTGGGGGCAGGGAATTGGGCTCCAGCTCTGTTTACAGCACGAGGTTCTCACTGTCCCTTGTGGGTAGGAGGGAGGTGGATCAGTGGCCACACCCTGAACAGACTAGGCCCCTCCCCGCGTTTATCGCCCCAGGCTGCTACTGGCACGAGCCACAGTCCCACTGTCCTGCAGTGCTAGCCTGGGGAAGGCTCTGAAGAGGCCCGGAGGGGTGAGTGCCCAGCCAGCTAAGAAATAGGAATGGCCCTGAGAGACAGGAATGGCCACTGCCAAACCCCAGGGCCTAGAAGGGAGGGGATACACCTTCTTCTAGGGGAACAGGGGACTAACAACCCAGGAGCCAGACAAGGTGCTGAGCGGGCTGCAGAAGGGAAGAGTCTCTTGAGCAAAGGGCCAGGGGGACCCTCAAGTGTGGGGAATCCAGTTTCTGAGGATAGAAGCCCAGGCTCCAGAGCCCCGGGAGGGAGACAGGGCTCTGGACCTGGGTTTGAATTCTGCTCTACCGCTTTTAATGCAGCCTTTGGCTCCTTACTTAACATCTCTGTGCCTCAGTTTCTCCTGTATAATGGGATGCTACCACTAATAGCGGAAGCATGAACCAAGGCAGTCTGGGTCTCAGTTATCAAGGACAAATGAACAAATGCACAGAAAGCTCGTAACATAGTCTGGCACAGAGTGAGCTCAAGGTCAGAGGCAGAGATGATTATGAATGAGTACTCCTATTCCAGGCAAGAGAGCAGAGCTGGCCTGTGCAATCTAAGCCAAGCGGACAAGCCAGAAGGCCAGGAGACTCACCTGGAAGAGGAATGAGACAGTTTGGGGACCACACAGAAGAACAGGGTGGGAGCTGGAATTTGGAGGGGGTTCCACAGCCAGACTTGAGGGGCCAGGAAGGGGCAAGAGTGACTTTTCAGTTTTAAGTTAAGGCTAGAGTGATGAACTCCTAGGTTCAGGAATAGAATTGGGCTTGGGACAACACCAGGTAAATGGGAGTGGTTGGCTGAGAGATGAACTCTCCCAAATATTGGTGGAGGGGAAGGTCCTGTGGGCAATGCCTGGGGCGTGGGACGTGAGAGGGAGGTAGGATGGAGGCCTGAACTCCTGGGTCCTGACAGGGGGGACCAACTGGAATCCAAACTCCTGAGAACCTAGAAGGAGTCCTGGGCCCAGGACAGTGAGTGGACTTTTGGGTCCCTGAAAGATAGGAAAATGAGTGGGAAGACTCCTGGGTATAGGAGATGCTGGAGTGAGGGAACCAATAGGGGAGAGCAGGGACACCTGGGGAGAATGGGCTGAGGGTTTGAACTCTGGGCTCCTGAGAAGGAAGAAAGGATCTGGGTACCTGAACTCCTAAGGAAGGAAGGGGATGAGGCCCTCGCCTGCACCATTGGATCTAAAGGAAGAGGCCAGATTCTGACGCCTGAGTCTGAGGGAGGAAGGAGATAGAGACCAGGGCCCCCATCGAGTAAGGGATGATCCAGCCCTGCTTAATGAGCCTCTCCACCTGCTTGCAGCCTCGAGGCTCATGCACAGCATGGACTTACGCACGATGACACAGTCCCTGGTGACTCTGGCAGAGGACAACATGGCCTTCTTCTCGAGCCAGGGCCCTGGGGAGACAGCACGGAGGCTGACAGCCGTCTTTGCGGGTGTTCGGGAGCAGGCGCTGGGGCTGGAGCCAACCCTGGGCAGCCTGCTCAGCATGGCGCACCTCTTTGACCTGGATGCAGAGACTCCGGCCAACGGGTACCGCAGCCTGGTGCACACAGCTCGCTGCTGCCTGGCACACCTGCTGCACAAATCACGCTACGTGGCCTCCAACCGCCGCAGCATCTTCTTCCGCACCAGTCACAACCTGGCTGAACTCGAGGCCTACCTGGCCGCCCTCACCCAGCTCCGTGCTCTGGCCTACTACGCCCAGCGCCTGCTGGCCACCAGTCGGCCAGGGCGGCTTTTCTTCGAGGGTGATGAGGACCTCACCACTGACTTCCTGCGCGAGTATGTCACTCTGCACAAGGGCTGTTTCTATGGCCGTTGCCTGGGCTTCCAGGTGAGCCCCTGCCCTGCCTTGGGCCCACAGTGAAGGCACCTGGTGGCCCCTAACCTGGCCCAGCAGTGTAGCAGAATAACCACAAGGGTCATGGGTTCAGAAAACTGCAGATACAGAAAGGGAAAGCTGTCTGGGGCTCTGACAGAGCTATACAGGGACCTCAAACATGTGACCCTGCCCCCCACAGGCCGGATCCACTAGGGAGCAGGAAATCTTTAATGTGCATAGCTTTTTACACCAGGCTCCCCACTGTTTTCTATAATCCTACACTCAGGAGTCCATTCACCTTTTTATGTTACCTCTCTGGCCCCTGAAGTCACACGAGAACCCCCAGAAGACAGTATCATTCTCAAAGGCCCATTTAGTCATCCCCACAGGAGGCCTGGGAAGGAGGAGCAGAGGTTGAAGGGGAGGGGTCCCTGGAGCTGCTCAGTTGGACCCAGCTCTGCCTGGACTTTGTGACTCACCCAGGGAACTGCAGAATCAGGCTCTTCAGGCTGAGGGGAGGGCCGAGGAGCAGATCTGAGTTGGTGACAGTGAGGAAAACCTGGTCTCAACCCCTCTCCGCCCTGAACGAGGGTCCACTCCTGCCCGCTGCAGGTCTCCTACCCCCTGCTTTCCCCAAACCACCCTTGAGGAGACACAGCTCGTCTCTGCCCTAGACGGAGGCAGCCAGAGGCCTTCAGAGTCATAGGAAAGTAGTTTGGAGACTCAAAATTGGGCAGCCCTTGGGGCACCAGGCTCAGAGCAGAGGCCAGACTGCCCCTGTCTGGGGTTGGGGCCAGATCCCCCAGTGCCTAGCCACATCAGGAAACCCCACCAGGAGTATCTGGGGCTGTCTGACTCTGCAGCCCCCTTCAGAACCTCTCAGGACCTCCCCCCACCTCAGTGATAGTTGAGCTTGACAGTCTCTCAGCCTCCAGCCCATCCCACCATCCCCCACTTCCCTGTGGGGCAATCTCTTCAGTGACCCCACTTGGGTGTCCCTAGGAACATCCCCTCACCTCAGATGAAGCCACAAATACTGGTCAGCCCAGCTGGGCCAGCCAGCTCCTGTGTCCTGGCTGTGACCTTCAAGTCACAGGAGAGAGATCCTGGGGCCACCTGAGCCAGCACCCAGCCACAATGGCCAGGCACCCCTCTGCTCTCTGGCCCACTGGGACCCTGGCCAGGGCAGGGCCATGCCTGACAGCTAACTCTGAGGACCCAGCTGTGCTGTGTTGCAGGACAGCCCTCTGCCCCCCTATAAAATGGCAGTCCCAGGAGAGCAGAGGTCTTTCCTGTGTGGGTCTGGCGCAGCCCCTGCTCCAGCCCAGTGCCTAGCACACAGGAGGACCTAGGCCAGTATCTGCCAAATGAACAGAAGACCCCTGCTGGCCCTGTGCCCACCTCCTGTGGCTTTTCCCCCCTCTGATCTGGTCTCCCCATTGTCTGTCTTTTCCTGTGTGGCTGTGTGGCTTCTCTCTTAGATGCTGTCTCCCTCCTTGACTGTCTTTTTGCCTCAAGATCTCTAGCCCCATCTTTGACCATCTCCCATCTGTCGTCGTATTGACTTATAATTGGTCCCCATTGCTGTCCTTGCCTTCTCTCTGTTCCTCGCTGACTTTTAGGAAACCTCTGAACCATTTTACACCCAGCTTAAAATCCTCCAGTAGCTGCACTCACATCTGGAATAAGTCTGAATTCCTCAGGCCCTCTGTGAGCCCACTTTGCTTTTCTGACCTCACCCCTGCTCCTCCTCCCCTGCCCTCTGCTCCAGCTACGTTGGCCCCTGGTTTCCTTATCCACAGCCAGGCCCACCTCAAAGCTTTGCATTTGCTGTGCCCTCTGCAAGGAGCAGCCTTCCCTGACTTCATTTGGGTCCGTCCCTCAGGCCCCCTCCTCTAAGTAGCCTGACCCCTAGTCATTCTGTGTCCCCCTCCACCGTCTCTTCAAAGCATTAGTCATTACTTGACATTATATAGCACGTGCCTGGAGCAGCGCCTGGCACACAGAGGTAGCTCAGTAAATGTCTGCCGAACGACAATACCTGCCCCTCGCTCCTGCATGCCCCTGGCCCTTCTTCTGGGTGGCGTGTGATACAGAGGCCTCTCTCCACAGTTCACACCCGCCATCAGGCCATTCCTGCAGACCATCTCCATCGGGCTGGTGTCCTTTGGGGAGCACTACAAACGCAACGAAACCGGCCTCGGTGAGCCCCAACCAGCTGGGCCCTGCCTGCACCACTCCTGCCCTCCCATCCCTCCTTCCTGTCCCTGACCCCACGGCCTGATGTGCCTGGGCTTCCTGACACCCTCCTGACCCCCAGGTGTGACTGCCAGCTCCCTCTTCACCGGCGGTCGCTTTGCCATCGACCCAGAGCTACGTGGGGCTGAGTTTGAGCGGATCATTCAGAACCTGGACGTGCACTTCTGGAAAGCCTTCTGGAATATCACTGAGATTGAGGTGCTATCGGTGAGCATGGGGCACAGTGCAGGCCTAACATGGGGACACTGAGGCCCAGAGACCCATCCCAGGCCACATCAGGTCTCCACAGGGCTCCAGGCCCAGGAATGGCACATAAGGGAAGAATGGAGGGCTTATGTTGCCCCTCCCCAGCGCTCCTTCTGTTCCCTCCCCCCAGTCTCTAGCAAACATGGCATCAACCACCGTGAGGGTAAGCCGCTTGCTCAGCCTGCCACCAGAAGCCTTTGAAATGCCACTGACTGCGGACCCCAAACTCACGGTCACCATTGCACCCCCCTCGGCCCACACAGGCCCTGGGCCAGTCCTCGTCAGGCTCATCTCCTATGACCTGCGTGAAGGACAGGTAGGGCCCCTGCCTCAGCCAGGAACAGGTACAGAGCAAAGGGCGAGGGCAGCACCCACCTCTTCCCAGATGCCCGCCCGCCCTTCCCTCCATGCCTCCGTGACACTGCTCACACCCACCCCCCTCCAGTATCTCTGAGTACATATTCTTCATGGGGAAGGCTCAGGCAGGCGGCCCCAGCGTCACCCTCCTCCTCCCTCACCCCCAGGACAGTGAGGAGCTCAGCAGCCTGGTGAAGTCTGAGGGTCCTCGGAGCCTGGAGCTTCGGTCACGCCCCCAGCAGGCCCCCCGATCTCCATCCCTGATCGTGCACTTCCATGGCGGTGGCTTTGTGGCCCAGACCTCCAAGTCCCACGAGCCTTACCTCAAGACCTGGGCCCAGGAGCTGGGTGTCCCCATCCTCTCCATCGACTACTCCCTGGCCCCAGAGGCCCCCTTCCCCCGAGCGCTGGAGGAGTGCTTCTACGCCTACTGCTGGGCCATCAAGCACTGTGCCCTCCTCGGTGAGCCCGGCCCTGACCCTGCCCCAGCCTGCTTCAGCCCCCAGACCTCACTGCAGGGGAGCCGGTCACCTTGTTTCTCAAGTCTCGTCTTCACCCCCTGCCTTCCCGTCCATCTTCTGCCACCGAGCCCTCGGCATTCCACACCCCCCGCCCCACTCCTCCATCTCCGCCTCAGTACTCTCTCCCCGTTGCCCCACCCAACCTTCCATCAACCGCTTCCTCCTCTGCCTCCTGCTCCCCGACTCCAACCTGGACACACCATCGCCCCTCTCCCCTCCCCCCAGTCTCCTTTGACCTTTTTTCCCTCCCCATTTCCCCCTGATGTCTCTAGCCCATTGTTCCAGCTCCTCTAACCTTCCACTTCTGATATCTTGGGAGGTATAGAGCAGGGTGGGACTGTGCCCCATGCCACAGGCCCATGGTCCCTTGCCAGCCTGAACCTCTGGCCTCAAATGCCCTTCCTCTCCCTGAACCCCTGGCTTCCATTCCCTGGCCTCGAATGCCCCTTCCTCTCCCCCCACTCTCACCCGTCCTCGTTTCCAGCCTCCCAAGCTTCCCCAGAGCTTCCTGATCTCTGGGCTTCTCTATGTCTTTAGTCAGCCCAATTCTCTGGTCACTGTCCTTCAAATGGGTCCAAGTCCCTGCCTCAGTTTACCAGTCTCTAAACTTGCGGTTGGCTAGACCATGGGGTTGGGGCCTGCACATCCCACCTCTAAGAGCCCAGGGCTCCCAACCCCGAGCTGGATTCCCTCCCTGCCAGGCGTAACCAAGCCCCCTCCAAAACAGGCTCGACGGGCGAGCGGATATGCCTCGCAGGGGACAGCGCCGGTGGGAACCTGTGCTTCACTGTCTCCCTTCGGGCAGCAGCCTATGGGGTGCGGGTGCCAGACGGCATCATGGCAGCCTACCCAGCCACAATGCTGCAGTCCACCGCCTCTCCTTCTCGCCTTCTGAGCCTCATGGACCCCCTGCTGCCCCTCAGTGTGCTTTCCAAGTGTGTCAGTGCCTATGCTGGTAAGGCCCACACCCTCAGAGCTGGGACCTGGGGATCCAGGGGGCCTGGGGACAGGGACAGGGGTAGAGCCCAGTGTCCTGGGTCTGAGGCAGAGGGGCCGAGGAGAGAAATCTAAGACTCCTGCTGAAGCCATGAGCTATTCTTGGGTCCTTGGGAGCATAGACACCTGAGGCTCTGGGTGTTGAGACTGGGCCTAGAAAGAAAAGAGACCAACGCAGCCCCCCACACACACACTCCACAGGTGGGGAGACAGAGGACCACTCCGACTCGGACCAGAAGGCACTGGGTGTGATGGGGCTGGTTCGGCGGGACACAGCCCTGCTCCTCCGGGACCTCCGCCTAGGAGCCTCCTCGTGGCTCAACTCCTTCCTGGAGCTGAGCAAGCACAGGTCCCACCCCAACTCAGCAGCGCCCATGGCAGGTGAGTGAGGTCCTCCCCACACACCCGTCCAGGATGCCCAGGGGGGACGACCTGGCACGCCACAAGTCCCGATGCAGGGAAAAGGCTGTGCCCTGGGGCAGTCAGGGCAGCAGATCACCAGGTTCCTGGTTCTGCCCCATTTCTAATCCTGGCCCCTACTGCAAAGCCTTGATTTTCCACGACAGTCCACATCCTGAAAATTCAAGGACTTCAGATCCCCCCAGGTCATCTCAGTCCCAGGGACTACAGGATTTAACTTTTCAAACAGCCTTTTCCAGAAAGACACCCCAGTAAACAACTCAGAAGGTCTGCCCCAGGTGGGTCCTCGGGTGGGAGTTAGCCCTCTTAGATTCTTTCCAGACTTTTATTTTAATTTATTGATTTTAGAGAGAGAAGCATCAGTTTGTTATTCCATTTATTTATGTACTCGTTGGTTGATTCTCCTATGTGCCATGACTGGGAATCGAACCTGCAACCGTGGTATACTGGGACAACATTCTGACCAACTGAGCTACCCTGCCAGGGTTCCAGACTTTTAAGCAGCACTTGGGGGTGATATCCCTGCTGCAAGAGCTAACCTGTGAGGCTGGGACGAGGAGATCAGCAAACTGGATGGACCTTGGGAAGTTTCCAAGCCTTGGGTGGATGGCAGGACCCTCGGGCAGCCAAAAACCACTTCCATCCAGGATTTTTCCCACTTTTCCTTAACATTTTAACTTTAAGGATTTTAAACTACAATCAACTCAACTTATTTTCTCTCTCCCAAAAATCAACAGTATTTTCTGAGTAATAGAAATTACATGTTCAAAGGTATGTGAGTGCTCAGAAAATTATTCCAATTAGTTGTTTTGTTTTAAATTAAGTTTTAATTTTAGAGTCTTCAAATGGATGCAAATAAATACATACAGAAAGAAAAGGGATTTGAATGGCAGGCACATGGACCAGTGAGCACTGGGACTTTGCTTACAGAGGTGACAGGTGCAGTCCCTAGAGCCCCTGCACACACAGCAGTCTAGCCCCTGCTGCACCGGGTACTTGCTGGGTGACGTGGGCAAGTAATGGCATCTGTGAGCCTTGCTTTGCTCCTCTATGAAATGGACACAACGAGAGTGCCCGCCTCATAAGGCTGTCATAAGGACTGGTCGCACCGTTCATGCCAAGCACCCAGCACAATACCTGGTGCACAGTAGGTACTCTTAGGGGATGCCAGCCTCCCTGACTGGCTGTATCCTGTGACTGTCCAGTGTCTCCCCGGCTCACAGACTTAATGCAGTTATTCTCGTATCTTGCATTTGCCTTTGTGGATTTACAAAGACAAATGAAAAAAAAAACTGAAAAATAGAGGATCTTGGCCCTGGTGGTAAATAGTGTGGGTCTGATAAAAATTAATGGAGCTGAGGCCCAGGTGGGCACACCACGTGGGCCGGAGCACATCTGTAGCATCAGTTGGGTACTTGCTTTCCTGGTCACTCAAAGGAAAGAGATAAAACTGAAGAACACAAAGCCCATTTGGGAAGTAAATCTATGTGGCTCCAGGTGTGGGACCCCCTGGAAATCTAATGTGCCCCCAAAACACTTTTTCGCTCCCTTCTTAGTCTCCTGTCAAACCCTATGGGCCTGCTCCCTACTCCACTTTGATCCATTCATACCCTCTGTGTCAAAATAGCTGTAAAAAGATGGCTGGGTCTCAGGCTGGGCCAGGAGGCTGGTGCCAGACCTGCAATAAAGCAGTTGGACCTAATGCAATACTTTATTCCTCTGAATCCTCAGCACCTCCTATGAGGTAAGGGCTATTTTTACCCCCTTTTTACAAAGGAGGAAACAGACTACCAGAGGTAAAGTGACCTGCTCTTAACCTTCCCAGGCACCACACACACAACCTTCTACTAGAACACAGCTCCACCTCCAGGACCATGAGACTCCTTCTGCCTGCCCCTTGGAGTTGCTCCTTGGGCACGTGGAGCTCCCACCTGTCCCCAAGGAGGTGTCTGGGGGAGAACACTCCAGGTCTCCACAGCCCTAAGATCCAGCTCCTCCAGAGTCCTATGACCTTCCCTGCCAGCTACCCACACACCCACAACACAGCCAGGCTGACCTGCAGCCCAGCTAGCCCCTGACCTTGTTCCTCTCACAGAGCCAATTCGGCGCAGCGTGTCTGAGGCAGCGCTGGCCCAGCCTGGGGACTCACAGGGCATGGACCCCCTCAAGGACCTGAAGCTGAATGATCTGAGCCTCAGGAGCAGCTCCGAGACATCGGGCACACCTGAACTGTCACTGTCAGCAGAGACACTCGGCCCCTCCACGCCCTCAGACGTCAACTTCTTACTCCAGCCCGAGGACACACCAGAAGAGACTGAGGCCGAAGATGAGCTGAGCGCCCTGGACAGCGGTCAGGGCATTGGTGCCGCCTTCCCTCGGGGCTTCCACCCAAGGCGCTCCAGCCAAGGCCCCACACGGATGCCCCTCTACTCATCGCCCATTGCCAAGAACCCCTTCATGTCACCGCTGCTGGCACCTGACAGCATGCTGCAGAGCCTGCCACCTGTGCACATCGTGGTAAGTGCCAGGCAGGGACCAGCGAGGAGGGGTGGGTGGGATGCAGATGCACCTGGGGAAGAAAGCTCCCAGGAAAGGGGAAAGGTCAGCAGCATGGCCCCCAGGGGAAAGGTGTGTCACCAGGAAAGAATGGCTGGCAATGGGTGAATGCAAGGGATTCAGGGCTGCCGTTTTCTTTTGCAGTCTTGTTAAGCAGCGTGCGACCAAGGGGCAGCCGCAGGGCTTGGAGAGTCGGGGAAAGGGAAGCTACAGTGGGTCCTGGGGGAAGGAAAAAGCCAGGCAGAGAACAGGGAGCCCAGTTAAACTCAGTCTACAGCTCCCCAACCGCCCATGTCTCCCTCCTCTGTGTGCCCCCTTGTCCACGTGTTTTCCCCCACGCTTGTTTCCTGCACCTCCTCCCTGTGCCTCGCCCCCAATGTCCTGCAGGCGTGCGCGCTGGACCCCATACTGGACGACTCGGTCATGTTCGCGCGGCGGCTGCGCAACCTCAGCCAGCCCGTGACGCTGCGCGTGGTGGAGGACCTGCCGCACGGCTTCCTGAGCCTAGGGTCCCTGTGCCGGGAGACGCGCCAGGCAGCCGCGCTGTGTGTGGAGCGCATCCGCCAGGTCCTCACTCCGCCTGGCACTGCCGCGGGGGTCTGAGCCTCGGGTCAGAGCCAGGCAACCCGGTACGTGGGGGTTGGGGGCAAGGGGCGGCGACACTAAAGGCCTCCTGTTTCCATCTGCATTGGCCTCAGTGTATTGTGACTATGCTTCAGGAGGAGGGGAGAAGGGTGGGGACCCCTGCAGAGCCCCTGGCCCCTGCCTACCTGGGCCGTGGGAGACAGCCAGCTGTGCCTTACGTTGGGGATGATGAGGGGGAGGCCGGGAGCTGAGACCCCGGACTGGGGGGTGAGGGGAAAACCAGTTTCTTGAGACCTCTGGACCTGCACTCCACCATTGCCTTCTACTGCCACTGCAACGGCTGCAGGGGCAGGGCCTGACCCCACCTGCGGATCGGTTTGTTTTTGTTTGTAAATAAAAGTATTTAATTAGTTTGGCCTCTCACAAATGGGGGCAAGCATCGGACTCAGCTGCTGGGAATGAGAAACCTGGGACTGGAGGGTTGAAGGCTGGGGGCCCAACCTCTGGGTCCTAGAGGAGGGGCCTGTGGGCCTGGATTCCCTAAAACACACAGATTTCAACCAGGTAGAGACCACAGGACTCCGGGTTCCCAGCTACTCCCCTTTATCAACCCAACCCCAGCACCCACCAGAAGGAAACCCAAATCCCCTGGATAAATGGAGGAGGCTAACAGGACACTAGAAACAAACTATTCACCCAAAATGCTGAAGGCCCCATCTCTGCCCAGCTGTGACAGTCACTCAGTCCCTCAACGAAGACTGTTTCCTCACCCTTTTATAAGCCCTGGGTTTGAAGCAGAGATGGTTTCAATCCAGGGTCTGGCCTCAGGGAGGATGTGAGATTGATGCAACACAGCTCCTACAAGGGCTACACCTATAGTAGTCAGGGAGGGCTCCACAGAGGAGGTGATCCAAGCTTGACTTTAAAGGGTAAGCAGAAGAAACATGCAAGGTGGTTAGAGCTAGTGGCCTGTGATCAAAGTCTCTGCGTGGCCAGGTCAGGTGCAAAGTGGGGAGTGGCCTGAGGGACCCGGAGTGGTCAACAGGAGCAAATCCTGATGGGCCTGGATTGCAATTTGGACTACAACTGAAAGGCAGTGAAAGCCACAGATGGGTTTTGAGCAGGGATGGGATTGGTGGCACTGAAGAGCCTGCTGGGACACTGAGGGACAGGCTGAAAAGGGCAAGGGTGGAGCACTGGAGGCAAAGGAAGAGGATGGAGCCAGGGAAAACAAGGCCTAAGCAGAGGCAGAGGGTAGGGAGTTGGGAGTAGGGGTGCAGCAGAACCCAGAGCTATAACTTGGGTTGAATGAATAGGATATAAGGGTAGAGCAGAGGCGACAGGAGAGTAAGGGGACAATGACAAGTCTGGCCAGGGCAATAAGTAGACAGTGAGGCTACCTACTGGGAGGAAGCTCAGGTGTATGTGAGGCATTTGGGGGTGCACATGGAAAGATCAAATAGTCTTAGACATCCAGGTGGACATGCAGTGGGCTGGGTGCTGACTGGAGCTGAGGGACTAGAACCCTTCTAGGGAGAGGGGGCAGGTAGGATGAGCAAAGGGCTAGGACAGACACAGAGAGCTCTGAGGACCATGACCCCCAGTGAAGAGTGGGCAGTGAAAGTTGAGCCCGGGAAGGTTCTAAGGAGTAGCTGCAGAGGCAAGATCAAGAAAGAAGAGAACATGGAGCAAAGGGAATGAATGTTAGGAGGGAGGGAGTGATCTATGTCAGAGGAGAACCCAAATGTTATCATGGGGCCTCAGCAATGAGTGGGTGGGTCCTCGGTGACCTTGTACAGAGCCCCTGCAGGGCCCTGGGAGGTAAGCAGCCAGATGTGGAGGATTGAGGAGGGAGTAGAAGGTAAGGGATTAAGCAGGTGGGTACCACAAGTCTTTAGCTGTAAAAGGGATGAAAGCTAATTCAACAGAACTTGATGCAATGTTTGTGTGTGTGTTTAGAAAAGATGGAACATGTTTTATACTGCCAGGGAAGGGAGAGAGAGAGAGAGACGGAAGATAGAAGCACAAGAAAGCAGTTTCCTGAAGGGAGGGGGAGAAGAGGACCCTCACCTCAGAAGCCCTCATGCACCCAACGAGTGACTTCTGAGCCAGGTTCTGTGATGGGGGAGGGAGCCATAGCCCAGAGCTCTCCCTGAAGATCCAGACCCACTGGCGTGGATGAAGTCCCCCTTGTCCAGCTCATAGGACCCCTTATTCATCTCTGCCCAAACAGCCATCCTCACCAACCTGCTCTTTCCTGTCCCCATCTCAGGGATGGCTTCATCATCCCCTTTAGCTCCAATGGCTCCTCCTCTGGAAACCCTTTTCTAACCCACCAACCCCCCCCCAAAAAAAAAGACTCCGGACTCCCCTACCTCTGCACATCCCTGCTTATCAATGAGTGGGGCTACCCTCCCATCTGACCCAGGCCTGAGTCACCCCGGCACACCGGAAGCCTCAGGAAATGTTTAAGTAATGGGTAGATGAGAGTGTGAATAAGTGAGTGTGAGGGGTTATACGAGGAAATCAGTGAGGGAATTAATGAGGGCAGGTAGATGCAAACAAGAATCAGGTTTTGGGTAGGAGGAATGAAATGACCGAATGAGTATCTGAGAGTGTGCATTCCGGATTCAGTTCCTCCAACAAAGCAAAACGGGCTGACGCCCAGCTAAGCTCCCTGGTCTGCCTCAAGCCTCACCAAGCCCACCGTTTCCCATCCGAACTTTGTCAAGAACCCCAACGCTGGACGTGCCGGAAAGGTCTTACCCGACCGTCCCAACAGAGCCTTTTCACTCGCCAGAGGATTACTGCTTCCGCCGAGCCCACCAGGCTTCCCACCTCCCAGATGCCCGCCTATTGGCACACCGAGGGAATGGGCGGGGACTAGGGTCTTCGAGAGCCTATCTCTCTCCGACCTAGGCCAAGGGCCCCGCCTACTAAGCGATGCACCCTGAGTGGCCCAGGCTAGTAGGAAACAAAGTGTTTATTGACTGAATGATAGTGACTGACGTCATGGGTAGCCTATCAAAGCTAGACTCCAGCGGAGGAAGACCCGCCTAAGGAAAAACAGAACGCGGGAAGTAGTTGAGAGCCTCTTCGACTGAGGAGGAGCGGCGGGCTTTTGGCTGCACTTGCTAGGGCTGTCGCTCGCCCGACCTTGGGTCCTAAGGAAGGATGGGGACTTGAGACTCATAACTCCTTGGTCCTGAAGGAGGAGGCCAGGGGCCCGAGGGAGGAGGGGATTGAGGACTCGTAAGAGGAGTAACTGGGGGGCCTAGACTTCTCAGTCTGACTGGAGGAGGAGGTTGAGCTCTTGGACTCCTGGATCTTGAGGGAGGAAGGAACTGGGAACCTGAAAGGCTGGGGGTCTGGGGACGGGGACTCCTGGGTCCGATGAGTCACTGGCCTGCCCTGGAATGACAGATTTGAAGTTTAGTATTTTATGTGGCTATTTATGGGATCGGAGCCTGGCTTTGTCCCTAGGCAAGAGTTCTGGTTTCTAAGGAACTCAAGAAGCAGAGCTTGACTAGAGATGACAAGGAAGAAGCTTAGGAACTCTGGCCTCAGAATATCCTTTGCTCCTCCCTAAAAGGCAGCCAGGGGCAGGGTGCTGTCTGCAAAAGAAACAGTGGGAGGAGACTTGAACCTCACGTGGAGACCAAGAGAAAAGCATAAATACCAATGGAGAGATTAAATATTGGAAATAATAATAGAGCTCTCTTGTGTGGAGTTTATTGTGACCCAGGTCTGTGCTAAACATTTTACATAATTATCTCATGTCTTCCTCATAACGTCTTTAAAAGATTGGATTATTATTATAATTCCTATTTTACAAGTGAGAAAATTGACACCCAGGGACAGAGAATCAAGATGTAAAGAGACAGGAGAGACATAAAACACAGTGATGAACAAAGAGATAAAGGCAGGTCCAGAGAGCAAAGAAAGGACAGACAAGGGGAAAAAGAGAAGGGCGAAAAGAAAAGCAAAAAAGGAGAGGAGCTGAAAGCCAGGACACTGCAAGGGGTGGGGAGGGAGGTTCTGGGGAAGGGAAGACCAAGGATGGGGACTCCCGGGTATTTCCTGACTCCCACGTAGCAGCCTGTGGGTGTTTGGCCTGGTTGGGGTCAAAAATAGTGATTAGAGAGAGCAACTGTGTCATTATCCTATTAGGACATGATAAGAAAATGATTCATGGAGGTGCCCTGGGCCTGGGAGGAGCCTTTCCCCCACAGACCCTTTGATCTGGACAGATCGGACCTCAGGAAGGACTGGGGAGGGGCAGAGTCCTCTCTGTCCCTGTCCACCGCTGAGTCTCCATCACTGGGAACTGTCGCTGAGTCCCTCCTGGAGACAAATGAGCCACCCTGGAGCAGCAACAATGTCTGGAGGCATCTTCACTCTAATTCCTTCCACTTTCCTCCAGACCTTGAACCAATGCCAGCCAGAGGTCCTGGCTCACTCACTGCAGGGGCTCAACCGAAGCTAATGGAGTGGATGGACAAACATCCACGTTGTCCTGTGCTCCCCATCATGTTTCATTCTCAGCCTCTCCCTGGTCTTGCCTATCTCTTCCCACCTTCTCTTTCACCATGGTGTTTCTCCCAAAGCCATCCACACCACCCCCATTAGGGAGAAACTGAGGCTCAGTTTGGATGGAGTCAACCTCCCAGTGCCACCTGTAGGACATGGAAAGGAGTAGCTGAGAAAGGGGTTCTCAAGGCCCCAGATACAAACATTCCCAGCACCTCAGAGTCAGAAATGAAAGAATACACCAAACATGTGTCCTTACAACATGTGCTGGAGGCAATCTTGCATTTACACCCACACAATCAGAGAATCACACGCACAGCACATGCAATCACCTATAAACACAGACGTAGGCACACAGCCAGCGAATCACTGCACTGACACAGCCAGGAATATCCTACGCCACATGCAAAACAGATACCCCCGTTATGCAGTTACATGCCCAGCCACGGATAGGCATTCAGCCAATCTCTACTGGGACCATGAGCAAAGACTTGGCTTCCTTTACTATTGCATTCCAAGCAACTAGAACAGATCATCATCGTTGTCATCATCATCGTCATCAGCAGCAACAGCATCACCATAAACAATATATTTCGTATGCGCCAGGCACAAGCGTAGGTACTTTGCATGAATTAACTCTTAATCCTCTAAACAACTCTATTCGCAACAACCCATTTTGCAGATGGAAAAATTGAGGTCCGGGGAAGTTTGGTTATTTGCTCAAGGTTCCACAGCCAGTGAGAGGCCATCAGGATTTAAACTCAGGTCTTTGGGTTCATCACACAATAAATAATAAATAACTTGCAATAAATAATTCCTGCTTTAATCCAGTCAGAATTACAGAAACTTGACAGCTGAGACCACACCCAAACTCACACCCA